AACCTTGCGCTTGAGCTGGGCGAGGGCGGCGTCGGATGCTGCGCCAGCGCCAGCCTGTGCATGTGGGCCAGGATGGGAGAGGGTGGTGAGTACACGAGGAGGAGCCACAGTTGTAGATTGGAATCTGTGTCCACCCTCTCCCTCGAGGGAGTGCAAGGACGTTGCCGTGTCAAACCACTGCCAACCCCCGAACATCCATACCCGTTCCCAGCCATCACTCGACACTCACATCTCGGCGGATCGCGTCGTGCTGCATCGCCTCCTCGCCCATCTGCCCCGGGGACGCGTTCTCTGGAGCCTGCGCCAGAGCCGGCGCGGCCGGCTGAAGCCTCTCACGCGCCGCGAGGATTTGTCGCGCCAGCGGCAGGCACAAGTGGGGATGATCCTCCCACAGGCCCCTTTCAGGCCTTTTCGGCATGCATTGGCGAAGCTCCACGATCCAGTCGACCTGCTGCTGCGTGAAGGGGATGCGCCACCACCCTGACGCGACATTCGGGGCTGGGGGTTCTGCTGCGTCGTTGCTGACGAGTGGTGCTGGTGCTGGCGGGTCGGGCGCAATGTTCAGGGCGTTTGCTGCAGCTGCATGGGCGCCAGTCGCCGGGGCTGGGGGGGTTGGGTCGGGTGTTACGGCCAGGGCAGACGCCGCAGCTGCATGGACGCCAGCCACTGGGGCTGGCGGGATCGGGTCCGGCGCGGCGTCCGCTGCTGGGACAGGCGCAGACAGTGGAAAGTGGCGTCACTGTGGCCCGGAATGCCCAATGTCAGGGTAGAACACAATGCTCTCCTTGGAGTCTTGCCTCAGCTGCTTGATTGTAAATGTATGCTGGCAGCCGGTCTTCTTAGAGCGACGGCGCGACAGGCTCGTCCGCCCCTCATGCTGGCTGGCGACGCCCCTCTCGTCAGCCACTTGGGCTTTATGGGACCAGGGGCGCACCTGAAGCACTCGACTGACAACCAGTCCTGCGTATGTGGTGAAGAGCCTCGGTGAGTGCAGGGAGGAGACCCGACCGGGGGAGGTCTCACAGCGGGCATCCGTTGGGTGACATTTCGACTTCGGACCTTGGTGACAGGACGGATGGTGTGTGGTTGAATGATGTCCTGAATCTGCGCCACTCGCCTCGCAGGGAGTCATCCATGCGCTCCGTGGGGGGGGTCGCGACTTGAGTTGTCGGGGCTGCATGGTGGGTATCCAACTTTGTAGACCCCGCGGCCACCAGCTCGGCCATAGTGAACACGCCCTTTTGGGGTTCGGATGTCTCGGGCACGTTTCGCATCGTACGCGAGCTTGGGAGGTAAAAATATGATGTAAATAAGCTGTCGCCAGTAGTCGGAAGGATGTCTTCGGGGGGTTTCGTAGCGTTAGTCGCAATTAAAGAGCGGCGAGGGAAGGGCTCCCACCTGATCTGAGTGGGTAGAGGAAGGCACGCCAACCAGCGTGAGGGTACAAAAGGCATGCAAGCACAGCATCACGGTGTGGCGCATGCTGTATCCAGACCTTGCCGACCACCACATTATATACATCATGGGGTCCAAGATGAGCTCAACTGAGGGCGGCCTCCACCGCATGTTTGCAGCTATGCGGGACGACAAGGGCATGCTTGGCTAATGCCGTAGACATTCCAATAGACAACATGCAAGCCAAAGAAGGCTTAGATGTTCATGCTGGGAGGGTGCCAGGACCCCCCTTTCCCCCGCCCTCACAAACAAGAGACTCTCCAATCACGAAATATGCCCGTCTCCGACCATTCTATGATGCTGTCCAGATCATCCATATGTTGTATACCCCTCTATTATGCTCTGGCGTCTGCAGACGTCAATCATTGTTGTCAAGAAAAACTTCTCTGTGGTTTGTATATGACGAGAGCTTGTTTATGCAATCGCACGAGATGCGGCGCGAGTTTGCCTCTCTCCCTTTTCCTTCCATTTGCACCGGCATGCTTGTGTTTGCATTTAGGGAGCAGATCATGAATGACCCATGGGATGTGTCCATACACGCCCGATTCCTCTGACCTCTCCTTGTACCTGCTCTGTATGTATGTATGAAAGCTTCTTTTGCGACGGAAGCAAATGGAGTGACATGCCATTACAAACGCAACACCCATATAATCATGGGATTGCCAAGGCATTATACTACACCAAACGCCGGCATGCGCCGCGCGCGATTCGAGGTTGCGTTAACATCGTTGGCAGGAAGACCTTACTTTAAAAATGACCATCAACCGGGTTGGGTGCGGCCTAGACTGATTGACACCTCTGAAACTAGACAGACGGGTCTGCATTACATCCCAACCCTGAGTGTGCCTGCATCCATTGTCGACCTCTGGCTGGCACGTTGGTCCCTCCATTTCCAAGAGTCGCCAAGAGCGGCGATACCTCAATGAGCCTTGTGTTGTGGGAGACTCCCTCG